CACTTTGGCTCTGCAGCACCCACCGCGGCTCTCGCGGGAGGGAGAGGGATTTGGGCAGGGATTAATTCCCACCCCCAGCAGGAGAACAGGGATTTGGGTTCCCGAGAAGGTTTATGCTGCAGCCCCCAGGGGCTGGGCCAGGAAAATTAACAATTAGGCAGAGTTGTGCCCATGCCCTGCTTGGGGCCACTCGATGCCCCCTTGCCCGGGGTGGGGAACCAGCCAGGCTAAAATTGCTCTTAAACCCCAGCCCGGAGGTTTTCAGCCCCCAGGGACGGGTGGATACTCACGGGGAAGTAGAGGAGGAGGGACCCGAAGAGGATGGTCTCCAGGAGGATGACTCCTGACGCCCGGATCCTCTGCGGGGACAGGGGTGTGAGGGTGCAGGGCGGGGAGCCCCAGCTGGTGCCTGGGGGGGATGGAGCTGGGGCAGGGACACCCCCCCGGAGCCTGTCGGGCTGGGACATCCCTCCTGCTGCTGGGACACATCCCCTCTGAGACCCCCCCACTGAGACCGTGGGGTTTGGGAGTGGGAAGGGAGCAGGGTATCCCCTCTGAGACCCCCCCCACTGAGACTGTGGGGTTTTGGGGTGGGAAGAGGAGGAGAGCAGGGAGGTAACAGGGTGGAGGGGGGACACCTGGGGACCACTGCGGTGACACATCCCTGCTGAGACCCCCCCCCACCCTGAGACCATGGGGTTTTGGGGTGGGAAGGGAGCAAGACATCCCCTCTGAGATCCCCCCTCACTGGGACCATGGGGTTTGGGGGTGGGAAGGGAGCAGGGCATCCCTTTTGAGACCCCCCCTACTGAGACCATGGGGTTTTGGGGTGGGAAGGGGAGGAGAGCAGGGGGGTGAGGGGTTGAGGGGGGACACACCAGGGGACGCCTTGCCTTGCTGTGTCGGAAGTGGTAGGAGATGAGCATGCTGAGGAAGACGGCCAGCATGCAGCAGGCCTGGCAGGAGAGCACGGCCGCCCGCAGCGCCCGGTCCTCCTGGATGAGGCAGGGAGCGTCGTCCCGGCAGGTGGCACATCCCTGGCGACAGGGCTGGCATCCCAACCGGGACCCCCCCTCTGCCCCCACCGCACCTGGGGACAGAGGGACGGCCAGGTGAGGGGGGATTTGGGGTGTCACCTCATCCCCAGCTTGGTGGCACTTTCTTTGCCAGGGAACTGCTTGGGCTTCCCAAACCCCCCCCCAGCTCTGGACCCCAGTGCTGTAGCCACATGTCACTGGGTGAATTGGGGGACCCCGGGGCTGGACATGGCACCCACCTGCCCGGGCACCGCTGGCCACTCCGTTAGCCCCGTAAAAGCCCGGTTTGCACCGGCACAGGTACCTCCCGAGGACGAAGCCACGGCTCTCCTGGGGGACACACTGAAGGAGAGAGGCTGAGACGCACGGAAGGGGAGGGGGGGGCTCATCCTGCACCCCAAATTCTCCCCCCAAAACCCCGTATCCCCTCCCCACACCAGGGGGCTTCGGCAGCCCCCGGGCTCACGGGTACCTGACCCCACACCGTCCTCCCCCACTGCCCAGGAGGAATCAGTGGTTAAACATTTAAGAATTAAAAGGCAAAGCTTGGCCCCCAAATCCCTCCCTAAAACCTAAATGGACACCTAATGCAGCAGAGCGCGCTAATCCTGCCCGGCCGTGACGGCAGCGGCGGGGAGGGCACTGCTGCCCTAATCCCCCCCC